TAACTGTACCCAAGCTTGAATAATTAATTGTTATATATTGTAGTTATTATCTATACAGGCTTAACTTAAATACAGTAAATGCAAATAAGTGGTTTTCTCATATAGGTGAATATTTATAAATACCGTAAATTATTTGGTTGGTTGGTTGGTTGGTTGGTTGGTTGGTTGGTTGGTTGGTTAGTTCAAAAAAGCTTATCTGGTATTTTTTTAGAAACAAGACTTGTTCAATAGCTTTACATTTTCAAATAGTTTAAAATGCTCATTTGAAGAAAGGCAGAGAGAACATCTTTGTGTTTAGCACTAATGTTGAAGAAGGACTACCTTTTAAAAGGGGAAAACACTGAGAACAGTAAGTTCCCTCTGTTTTTGTCTCTGCACAGATGCACGTCACACAGATCAGCACATGCTTGTTGCTGCAGTAAACATGATTCAGTCACTGCACACGTTGTGCTTTCACATGTGCACWCTTGCTCCTATTTGTAAGTGTAGGTGGTTGAGTTAGAACGTTCTGACTGATACACTGCGGTTATCGCTTTAATGGATCTCGTGGTGAGCTGGAACAAAGTGAGGGGTGGGTGTGTGTCCTGAATTTGAATGATGTGACAACATTTAGACATATCGTTCTGCAGGTAGTATTCAGTGAATTTCTGCCCACTTGCTGGTCATTTCTRCTGTTAGTATTTATTATCCTGTGTGTTGCCATATATATAACCATGTAGACCTAAATGGTCTTATCGATTAGAATGAATAAATTAAGGACTCAGCTGATTTAGTATATTGTTTGCTTGTGTGTGACAAAAGACAAATATGATGATGGCAAGCTGGACTTATTCCCTGCAGTTTCTCTCTGAGTATGAATTGTCCTTGCAACAAAAGACCATTTCACAAACACACAGAGATCTGACGTCTTACTTCTTGTCAAGATCTTAAGATGATTTTAGTTTTAACTTAGTATGAAAGGTGACAGGTGATATGTTTTTCCAAGGAATGCTAATTTAATTTCACATTTTCAACAAGGTTCAAACTCAGACAAAAATCATATTTATTTTAATGTAATGGTTAGGCCTGTCGCGATAGTCAATAAATCAATTAATTGCACGATAACTTTTTTTGAGGTCGGTAAAAAAAAAGACGCCGATAAGTTTCATTTTCCTGCTTGTTTATTTACTTCGTCTCTT